GTTCAGGGTCTCACTACTAGATTGGACTCCTAGTGATCCGCCTGTTTACAGCCTCCCAAGAGCTGGGATTACAGGTGCAAAGGGCATGGCCATTCTGAAAGCACTGGTAAAACAAAGTAATGTAAATAATTTCTAGTATACCCCATTCTGTAAATCACATATATGAGACCTACTGCATATCTGAGGCCCAAAGAATAGGAGATTTAAGTAATCAAAGGCAGGACATGAGCCATCAGTAGAGATAAACCATGACATAGTATCAATAAGAATAAAAGAAAAAAAGAAAAACTTTAAAAGCTCCATGAAATCAGGGAGTTGAACAGTAATGGTGAGAATGGCATTAAATGTGGGCCAAGAAACTGTGGATCTAGTTCTGACCTGTTGTCTCTCAGGCAAACACTCATGAGCAATGACACCTAGCGACAAGTGACAGGCTAGAGTCACACTTCCAGTAGCCACTAGAGTTGGAATGAGTCAGGAGCATGAACAGGAACATACTGTATGTTACAGTTTGGATCTTATATGACCCCCAAAAGTTCATGATCAAAGGCTTGGTCTTCAGTTGATAGTGGAATTGGATGGGACTGGAAATGTTATGAACTTGAGCCTTCCTGAAGGACGTTAGGTCCCTGGGGACACGTCTTAGTTCATTTCTCATCACTGGGACACAATACCCAATACCCATAACTTAAGAGGACAGGTTTATTTTGGCTCATAGTCTGTAGGAGTCTCAGTCCATAGTCAGCTGGCTCCTGGGCAGGCTGGCATGGCTGAGGATAGCTGTTCACAGCATGGTTGCCAGAAAGCAGAGACAGAAAAAGGAAGAGCCATGAAGAGAGACAAATATTTCTAGGCCCAAATACCCATTAACCTGCCTTTTCAACCAGACCCCACTTCCTAACAGCAAATCAATTATAAGCCCCCACAACCCAGTCACCTTCCTAAAGCCCTAACTATGAATGCATGAGGACTTTGGGGGACATCTAGACATACATTATAACAAGGGGTGCTCCTGAATAGGATCTGAACCCTCCTGTCTCTCTTTACTTTTTGGCCACATGAAGTGAGTGGCTTTATTCGCTGTCCTGATATTCTACCTTGACACAGGCCCACAGTGATAGGACCAAGCAACCCTGAACTGAAACGTTTAAAAGCTGAATCAAAATAAATCTTTCTGCCTTTTAGCTTGTTTTTCCTCAGGTATTCTGTCATAACAAATGGAAAGCTGACAAACAGAAAATTGGTAATGAGAACTAGGGTTGTTGCTGTGACTCCACCTGATGCAATGATTCGGCAGCCATTGGAATTGGTTTGTGGGAAGAATTTGGGAAAGCTGAGAGAAGCAGGCTAGAAAAAGCCTAGACATGCTATCAGCAGGGCTAACTGGATGGCTCTGATGGGAGATGAGAAGATCAAAATGCTGACGAACACTACAGCCCATTCAAGTTACTTTCTACTGAAGAAGTTGTCTATGTTTTGTTCATGCACTGAGGTTTTATGGGAAGCTGAGTTTACAGCGATGGACTAATTAATGTGGAGAAAAAAATTTCAAAAATAGCATAGCACACAGGCTGTGGAGTGGATACCACTGGCTGCTTCAGCCAGGTTTACCATGAGCACTAGAACGTAAAGCTGGCAGATGGATTTGAAAACTGCTATTTACTGGAAAAGGAAGACATTTAAAGTTGCAGCTAAGAGGGTGGAATTGCAATAGATCAGTGCCATTAAAAAGAAGCGGAACACTTTGCACCAGAACAACAGAAAAGATACACCGAGGGACTCTCCAGTAAGCAGCAAGATCCCACCTGTAGCAAGTTCAAAGGCTTGTCTGAGAAAAATCCTCAGGGTACTCTAGCACAGGACCACGTAAGGAATTATCTCCGTAGGACTGTTCACTGTGCTCATCTGTTCTGGCACTCAAGCGGCTGCAGTAGCCCAGGTTCAAGCAGGCTCCGGCAGTGTAGATTGCACCGACGGCAGATCCTGGCATGAGTCACATCAGGCTGGTTTTGCAGGCAGGAACACAAGAGTTGCAGAGTCATAGAGGCTTCCACTGAGGTTTCAAAGGAAAGCCTGAGAAGCCAGGCAATGTTTAGAAGAATCAGTCTTGCAAACAGACCCTCAATTGATGTGTAAAGCTGTGAGAGTGAAGTTGAGGCTGCAGTTAGAAACTCAAGGAGTGTGACATGTCTGCAAGAGGAGCTTCCAGGCAATAAGGCTACCCAAGGAATGGCCAACGTGCCTCAGCGCCCAGTGCCACAGGGGCAGGGCTCCCCAGGTCCTTCCACCGAGTGCCCTGGGAGCTGGTCATGGACCTACAGGATGTAGTGGTGCCCTGCAGAGAGTTCTAGCCTTGCTTTTCTTCGATCCTTCTTTTCTATTCCTCTGTTCTTCCTTTTCGTATTGAGATAATTTACTTTGTGCCTTGTAACTTGAAAGTAGATAATAGGGGCTCATAGCTAAGACTCTGCATCAGACTTGGACTTCTGGGCAATGCCAGAACTATTAAAACCTTGGGGACTCCTGGAGATGGAACAAACGCATTTTCCATTTTGAGACGGATATGAATTCCAAAGGCCAGAAACAGAATGTTATTAGTCTTGGTCTTAAAAGACCTCCAAAGACTCTGTGTGTTGAAGGCTTGGTCCTCAGCTGATGGCAATGTGATGATGGATGGCAGTGGAAACTTTAGGACGTGGGACTGGTAGAAGGAAATTAGGTCTGCAGGGATGTGTGCTTAAAGGGGATACTGAGGCCCGAGGCCCCATCCCTTTCTCTTTTTGCCTCCTAGACACCATGAGGTCAACAACTTCGCTCTACCATGAGTTCCCTCAAAGTGAAAGGGTCAAGTAGCCATGCACTGCAACCTCTGAAAGTATGAGTCAAAATACATCTTTCCTCCTTTTAAGTTGTCTTACTCAGGCATTTTGTCACAGTGATAGAAAGCTGACCAACAAAGAGTCACTATATCCTCCACTACAGATATACAAATCACATATTCAGCAAATAGCAATTTACCTGCGACGCTATGCTGAATAACTTCAAATTGTGAAGTATTCACCAAAAAAATCTACTTAAATATTCTGCATAACCGAAGTGGCAGATATTTTGATAAGTGAGGTCACGCCTTTTGTGTATACCTTATATATGATTTTTAGGTGAAAACTGATAGGAAATTTCTCCAACCTGGTTCTATGAAAGCCACCATCACAGGTTATAACTGACTATTGTTCATTTTAAAAAGCTTTTTTTTCATTTATGTATTTGGTACAGGGTCTCACTACCTAGCTTGGACTCCTAGTGATCCTTCTGTTTTCAATCTCCTCAGCACTGGGATTACAGGTGTGTGCCACCACACCTGGACTCTTTTGATGGCTCAGCATGCTCCAGGAGCAGGGCCAATGTGGCATGAGGGACTGGGGATCAAATCCTGGTCCCTGTGCTTGTCAAAGCAGGTGCTTAGTCCTCTGAGCTATCTTACTGGCCCTTAAAAAGTATGTTATAGGTTTTGCAGCCAGGGAGATAGCACCTGCTTGGCAAATACAAGGTCTTGAATTTGATCCCAGGTACCACACACACACACACACACACACACACACACACACACACAGAGCATGTTATATCTTTCAAGTACTGTCTAGTTTTATCCTCTAGAGCTTACCATTTCATGGCTGTAGTTTATGTTTGCAGATAAGTACATGCCTGTTCTCAGCTTAAACTGGCCAAATTATTGGAGTAACTCCTTTCTCTTGACCAACAATAAGGCAACTGTGCTACCCAAGACTCAAGTACTCTTGGTATGAAATTGTTACGATTTCTCTTTCACTTATACCTTTTCCCCAAGTGATAATTTTTTAATGACTGAATTAAAATCCAGTGGTCTTTTAGAAAATACGTGTTGAAAACTACCATTCTCTTTGTTGTTTCTGGGTCAAGAATAGGTGAGAGACCCCCACCCCCCCAAAAAAAAAAACTGTACCAAAAAAAAAAAAAAGAATAGATGAGAGAATTTGAGGTATATGAATAGTTGAGTGGGGATTTCAACTGATCAAAAATATAGTTCTCTTTGTTTTGAGACAGAGATTTGCCACATAGTTAAGGCTTTGTAGTCCAGGCTGGCTTCAAGCTCACAGTGATCCTGCTGTGTCAACCTCCCGGGTGCTGGGTTTACCGATGTGCACTATCACGCTTGGGTGCAAAATATAGTTAATTTTAAAAACTTGGATAATGATTTCTGCTAGTCTATTCAAAGGAACAGTTAATGTTTAAGTTTTTTTTTTCTTTTTAATTTTTTGACCAATCACAACTAACTTGAAGACAATAACGTGCAATGTAACAACCACTGTTGGAGTCCTATCATTTTGTTTAGTGAAATTCTGTATTGGTCTATTTTTTATTTCTTTCTTTCTTTTCTTTTCACTATTTTTGTATTCTCTTTAAAGATAAAAAATTAAAAATTGAATAATTCAAGTGATGGCAACAATAAATTACTCAAACATTTTTATCCATCAGACACTGTCAAAGAACTTTGCCAACTGTGTTCACTTATCCCTCATTGAACAAGTGGCACAAGAACATTTTTTTTTTTAATTTAGTGCAGGTTCTACAGGGTCTCACTACACAGATTGGACTTGTAGTGATTCTCCTGTTTTCATCCTCCCAAGCGCTGGGATTACAGGTATATTCCATCATGCCCAGTCTCAATAGCCACCTCAGTGGGCCCCCAGAGTGGGGCCGGCACAGCAGGCTGGGGATCGAACCTCCGACCCCTGTGTCTGCCTAAGCAGGCACTTTAATCTGCTGTGCTATCTGTCCAGCCCTCAAGAACACATTTAAGTCATGTGTTCATACCTATTTCTCTCTTTATTCCACAACATATGATACTTTTTTTTGGTCATAGTAGGTGTCACTGAGGTGGCCTTTCAGTAAAGGTTTGAAGATGGTGAAGCCATGAGGTTGCTCGGAGAAGAACGATATCGGCAGCCAAAAGCAAGTGCAAAGGCCCTGCGGCAGAAGCTTGCTTGGTGTCATGAAGGAAAGGCGGGCAGGTAGGCTCATGCTTCTGGTGCCGAGAAAGCAAGAGGAACACAATACAAAGCGAGGTCTGAAAGGTGATGGGCTCCACTGGGGACAGCCTTATCCACATCACTGAAAGGACTTCAGTATTTGTTTGCTTTGAAAGAAATAGAAAGCCATGAAGTGCTCTAGGTGATTGGACCCACTGTGTCAGAAACAGACAGTAGGGTGCAAACGTAGAAGCAGGAGAATGATTAGCAGCTACTGAACTGATGTGGGGGAGACAGGTGGGCGGCAGCCACAGAGTAATGGTCTATGTCGGGACGGATTTTGAAGGCAGAGCCAGTGGGCTTCCTTGATGACCTGGGTTAGAGTCTGAGAAAAAGTGTCACCGGTAACTCTAAGTTCAGAGCAGGCACAGCTGAGACAAGAGAGAGTGTGGGTGGAACAGGTTTGGGGAGAAGATAATTAATTCATTTAGCATGTTAAGTCTAGTTTTATTAAGACACAGCTCTGTTACTAATTGGCTTTGTGGCTTTGGGCAAGTTCCGTAACCTCTTTGAACCTTATTTTTCTCACTGTAAACTGGCCTAATGACATGTAAGGATTAAGGGTGACGAATGAATTTCAAGGCACACAAAGTACTTAGTACCGATAGAGGTGTACTGTAAGTACTCCGTACATGACAGTCCCTGTTGTCTTCGCCTCATCAAAACTACCAAGAAGTGAAACAGATCCTGGTCTTTTAACTAAATTCATCAAAGCTACCCAAGCACTTGTGACTCAGTGAGTACAAGTTAGTGCTGTGAGGTCTACAGCGTTGGGGTACTGAGGGCCACACACCAGGGCTCTCCGTATCAGAACTTAAGAAAGATTTAAGCTTGTCATCATCACTCATTTGAGGCCAGTGGGAGAGACAGCAAAAACAAAGGTCCCAAGCCAGGGATGTAGCTCCGTGGCACAGCACCTTCGTGGAAAGTGTGAGGTTCTGAGTTTGACTTCCAGTGCAAAAAAAAAAAAAAAGGTCCCAAGGATGATTGCTTTCATAAAGTGCCTTTAGGAAAAAAAGAGAAAAGTTTTTAAAGATTAGAACATAATAAATTAGCATCTTTCTCACAGAAGTGTGAGAAAATAGGGATTTTCCTTTCAGAAGTTACTAAGATTTGGCAGCGTCTAAAATGTGTCTTGCCAAGTTGAGAAAATATGAAGTAATGTAGAGATGTTTAAAGTTAGTAATTTATTTTATTTAGAAGTACATTCTAAATGTGTAACTCTGTGCCTGAAATACCCGCTGCCTTGAGGGTAGTACCTAAGCCAGAGGTGTTGCTGATGCTGAGGAGAAAATTCACAGAATTTCTTTCCTTTTTTTTGGCCACCCAATCTAGGTAAAAAGGAAGGTAAGGTAAAAAAGAAGAGCCCAAAAAGCAAAAGGTTGATTGAAAATTTGAGTTCTACCATGTCCAAGCCATCATGACCTCTACAATGATAACCATACTCTCTCAGGTTCTTCATTCACAAAATGCAGGTCCTTGTACTCCCTCACAGGATTCAGAAATGGGGACATCTGGCTACTCTACCTTATGTTAGACCAGAGAGGAGAGATTAACCTTTTTAAAAAGGGTTGCTAAATCTTTTTCAATAATAACAACCACAATGCAGTGACAACAACAACACCTATTACTACTCATGAGATCAGCATGAAATAAGAACTTATGCAGACACCAGGTTTGAAGCCCCAGGTCCCCTTCTTGGCTCCTTTTTGCTGTTGAGCTATTGTCAAACTCTTCAGCTTGTTTCTTTTTGGCTACCTTTGCCCTTTTGCAAATCACTTTGTTCCACTCTGCCAGGACTATGCACTAGAAACAGCTCAGTCATCATTGCCTAATTTCTCCGGAAAGTGCTCTTCCCACCCTCTTCTGTGAGGTGAGTCATTTCCTCTTTCTGAATGGAAATCCAATGGTTATTTATATCATGGAGTAAAGGAATAGATCCCAGGAAGAAAATAACTAGGAAGGAGAGAATTCGGAGGCCAGATGGGAAGTGTAAGAATAACAGGGGTTGAGCTAAGGAAATGCTTTTAAAAATAAATCTTGCTAATGTTAGAGAGGTTGTAGGCCAAGCAGAAGAGATTTAATTACAGGGGAAAAAAAAAAACAAAACCAACAACAACAACAAATTGAGAATAAATAATAATCTTCAGTGGCACTGAACAAGAGACTAAGCAAGTCACATAAACACAAGAGGAGACCTGGGGCAGCTCCAATTCTGTGCAATATTTTTCAGTGAGCATCAAAGGATACCAAAATTAATGTCTGTGAGAAAGCTGACTCAGTTTATCTCCCACCTTAGACTCAAAGTCAGCAATTATTTCTTTAATTACGTAAGATCTGTATCATTGCAAAAACATACCTGTAAAGGTTTCGGTACATGGGTTTATGCCAGCAAGCCTCTTTGATGTTCCAAAGTCAGAGATCTTGAGGACACCACTGTAGGTATTAATCAATACGTTGTCCCCCTAGGAAAAAAAAGGGCTTCAGTCAAAACCATAGCCTTCCTTCAGGTACTCCTACTACAGATTTGTAAAGTTCAGCTAGAAGGAATGATTGAAACAAATAAGGATATTATTCTATGTTCTCATTAACAGTGTATCTCAACAGAATTCTTAAAACAGTTTTGTGTTCATATACCACAAAGTGTTCACCATCTGCTCAACTCCCAAGATCCAGCATGGTTCTGAGGGAACGTTCACTGCTATTTGCACCCAGTAAGGCTGGATGAGTACGATAGCTGTTGAAGTTAAATTAGGAATTACATAATTACCAATTACTTTACCATCTTTTCTTTTTTTTAAAATGTGTTCAGTACAGGGTCTTACAGGGTCTCATTGCATAGATTGGACTCGTAGTGATCCTCCTGTTTTCAGCCTCCCAAATGCTGGGATTACAGGATGCACCATCATGCCCGGGCTCAGTTGCTGTCTCAGAGCACCCTGGGAGTGGGGCTGGCAAGGCACACCGGGGATCAAATCCGGGTCTCTGGGGCCTACCTAAGCAGGCACTTTATTCTGTTGAGCTATCTGGCCAGCCCTTTATTTTCTTTTCTATATGGTTCTATTTCTTTTCCTAGGATATTTGGGGATATCACAGATAAATGTGCACATACGTTGACTTTAGGATAGGAAAAAACCTGTTTTTCTTTCTTTTGATACAAGGTCTCGCTATGCACCTTGGACTCCTAGTGATCCTCCTGTTTTCAGCCTCCCCAGTGCTGGGATTAGAGGCACACGGCACCGTGACTGGTTTCATTGGCCAGCTCAGTGCACCTGGCGGTGGAGCCGCCATGACCTTTGGAGCTAGGGATAGAACCCTGGTCCCTGCGCTTGCCTAAGTAGGCGCTTAGTCTGCTGAGCTATCTTGCCAGCCGCTTGCTGCCCTTTAAAAGACTTGTTAACACACATTTATTCATTCTCTCTCTCTCTCTCTGGAACCAGGTACTGAACTCAAGATCTTGCACTTGCTGGCAGGCCCTTACGCTGTGGAGTTATCGCCTCAGCCCTGTTAACTTACTTTCATAAAGTTGTTCATTTCGTTTTAGCTACAGTGTTTAACAAAATTGGTAGGGAACAACCACAAGGTCATGGTTTCAATGTCACTCTGACTCATTCTTCTATATCATCCACAGTAAACTTTCCTCATTATAATACTAACCTCTTATCTCTTGAGGTCACAGCGACCATCCTCCTTGAATGAGACCCAGGACCATGAATTGAGCACGCTCAGCAATCAGTCCTGCTCTTACGTGGGCTTTCCTCCCCAATAATTTTCCAAGTGCTTTTTTGTTGGGGAGAATGTGGCTTTACAAATAATTCCAGTGCTCTCCTTATTTGCTTCAAGTAATAAAATTTTTTCCACTCCTTTTTTTTTTTTTTTTTTTTTTTTTTTTTTGTGGCCTGCTGTGGGGGCAGGGCATGTGGTGCGGTGATGAAAGAGGGTCCATGCGCTGTGCCTAAGCTTGCCTAAGCAGGCGCATTAGACTGTTATCCCGCGGGCCCTTTCTCCCATCTTTTTCCTCTTGTGTTGTCAAAACCTGACTAGTTTAGAAAAGTTTACTATTTTAGAAATTTTTTAAAAATCTGTTATTAGTATAGGTTAGAGAGTTTATAAATTATAATTTTAGTTCGATGTATCAGTATGTAATACTTGTTAAAAAGGGTGATTGAACCTGGCGTGGTGTTGCATGCCTATAATCTCAGCACTCAGGAGGTTGAGGCAGGAGGATCAGCGCAAGTTCGAGACCAGCCTGGGGGCTACAAAAGTGAGCACAAGGACAGCCTGACCTGCACAGCAACACTGTCTCAAAAAACAAAACAAAACAAAAAACCCCAAAACAGGGGGGAGGGGTGTTACTATTTCTTCTGATCATCCACTGATTCAAACTTATAGGTAGTGATTAGGAGTAAGAATATAAAGATAAGTCCATAAGTCAGCCTGTCAGCTCCTTAGGAACGGGAACCAAGTCCTGCTTCTCTTTAAACTGTGGCACGGACCCCACCGAGCTCCTAGAAAATATTTGACAGTGTGAACTCAATCTATGGTTGAACCTGGCTATTCCTTAAGTAGAAGAGATAAAACATGAACATAATTAATTCAGAGTAGAGCAATATATGTCCACCGTTTCAAAGATTTGTTCGCTCTTCTAAATTCATGTGCATAACAGAAAATGACTTCTGCAAATCCGCAATTACATAGCAAGGAACTCATGGAAGTGAATCACAGCGTGCATCCTACCTTTATATCCCGGTGAACTATCTGATTGTCATGGAGGTATTTTAATCCTTCCAGTATTTGTTTTGTGTAAAAGCCAATTGTTTGCTCATTGTCTTTTAATGGACCCCATTTGGAACGAAGGAGAGCAGAAAGACTGCCTGTAAAGAGTAGATAAAAAATCATCCAAATGAGCTCTTTAAAGCATACGAAAAATGAGACCCTGACTTGAGCCAATATTCCTCTTTTCTTCACAGAGGCCCAGTAACTATTCTAGTTAGTTGGGCTCAAATATGAATACAACAGTATACAAAATAAACATGCAGAAATCAATAGCTTTCTTGCACATCAATAATGAACACATTCAGTAGCTTAAATTAGCTTTAAAAATGTCTAGGCATCAACTTAATCAAGGAGGTGAAAAACTTCTCGGATGAAAATTACAGAATAGTCAAGAAAGAAACTGACAAATTGAAAGACCTCCCTTGTTCTTGAATTGGGAGTCGGCACTTTATCAATAGTAATCCATCAATTCTATGTAATTCCTATTAAAATACCAACAAACCAAGTACAGTGGTCCACAACCTGGAATTCCAGCACTCATGAAAGAGGGTGAGGCAGAAGGATCTCAAGACAGAGCCCATCCTCATTGATTTAGGAAGACTGTCTCAAAACAAAACAGAACAGAACAAAAATAACAAAGGGCTGGGGATGTAGCTCAGTATGAATGTCCTGAGCTCAACTCCTACGTTCAATTGCTGGATTCAATATCCCAGTACCATAAAACTAACAAACACAAAAATAAAGATAAACCCAACAATATTCTTTACAGAACTAGAAAGACAATCTTGAAATTCATATAGAAGCAAAAAAAAAAAAAAAAACAAAAAAACAAAAAACAAAAAACAAAAAACAAAAAAAACAACGCAGGATAGCCAAAATAATCCTGAACAAAAAGAGCACTGCTTGATGTAGAGTGTGCCTAAGGAGAGTCACATGGACAGAAAACATTCTCTCAGGCTTTCACAGAAAGCACAGTTGCCAAGCAATGGCCGTGACTCATCCACATGGCTGACACTGACAGAAGATCTACAATCTGAAGTACAGGATCTCAGGATAAATCCTGAGGGGATTTCACTGACCTTATCAGACCCAAAAGCTACAACTCTTGTTGCATAGGTCCTGCTTTATCTTGGTCTTAACCATCCAGCAGAAAAGTATAAAAACGAAGTATAAGAAGTAAAGCCATGGTGTTATGTTGAGCTGTAGGGGACTCAGGTCAACAATTCCTGACACTGCCAGTGAAGCGGAAGACCCAATACTACTATGGGCTACTGGACTCTTTTACAATATTTTGCTGAGTTAACACATCTATAATATTCAAATAACGAAACTAAACAAAAAAGGGGATACAAATGAATGTCCATTTTGTATCTGTGTATTTAAAATGGTTAGAATAGATATATAGTTACATTCTCTTAATGAATAGAGGGATTTGTTCTAATTATGTTTGTAAATAGGATATCATGTCCACATCTTGTACAGCAAATAACCACTGGGAGGAACATATGCAATGTGTTAATTATTGAAACTGTCCTACCAATTTGGTTTGAAACTGTCTCATTGCTATTTGTTTTTCAATAAAATTATGGAAAAAAATAAAATAAAATAAACAATATAAAAAATAAAACAAAAAAGAACACTGCTGCAGACACCATTATACTACTAGATTTTAAGTTACACTATGAAACCATACTGTAATAAAAAACTATTTATTTATTTAGCTAAAACTTTTCACTTTTCATTTTGTGAAACTCTGGATCAAATACTGTTCAGCTTTGCACATAGGACTGTTAGTCATTTAGGGAATGTCTGTCTAAAAATTCGCTACAAAATTGGACTCATAGTGATCCACCTGTGTACAGCCTCCCAAGAGCTGGGATTACAGGTGCGTGCCACCACGCCCAGTCTCAATTGCCATCTCAGTATGCCCTGGGGGCGGGGCTGACATGGCAGGCCCAGGGATTGAACCCCTGGCCCCTGTGCCTGCTTGCAGGCACTTTAAACCACTGAGCTGTTTGCCTGGCCCTTGTACATGATATATCTCGATGCTTCTTTTTCTCCCAGTCCCCTCCATTAAATCCTTCTCCTCATTTACAAAAACTCTGCTTCCAGTTTTTCCTTCTGTTCTCATTTTCCCCCTTTTCTCCACCTCTTCTCTTACTCCCCTTCCAATTTGAACATTTTTTCCTACTTCCCAATATTTATCGCCTATCTTGGTCATTACATTTTCAGTTTCTCACACAGTGTGGTATTTAAACATGTGTGTCCAATTTATTTCACTTAAATAAATTGATCTCAAGGTGCATGCATTTACCTAAAAAATTCTCACATTTATCCTTCTTTATGGCAGAGTAGTATACCACTGCATAACAAACCACATCATCCATTTATCAGTTTTTTTTTTTTTTTTTTTTTGCGGAACCAGGGATTGAACTCAGGCCCTTGCGATTGCCAGGGAAGCACTTAATCCACTGAGCCATCTCCCAACCCCCCCCCCCCCCATTTATCAGTTGATGGGCATTTGGCCTGTGCTCAAGATTTAGCTATTACAAAGTGTGCTGCTATAAACATGGGTGCACATATATCACTGTGATATGCTACTTTTTACTCTTTAGGCACAGCCTCTTTCACAAATGGTGCTGGAAAAAACTAGATTTCCACATACAGAAGGTTGGAAAACTGGATTTCCACATGTAGAAGGTCTTACCTTGCACTAAAATCAAATAAAAATGGGTTAAGGACCTACACATAAGATGAGAGACTCTGAAACTCTGAGAGAATGTATGGGGAAAATACTTGAAGCCATAAGCACACACAGAGACCCGCTGATAGGACTCTAGCAGCACAGGAGATAACAGCAAGAATCAATGAATGGGATTACATCAACTTAGAAAGCTTCCACGGAGCAAAGAAAAGCACAAAGACAAGCTACAGAATGGGAGAAAGTCTTTGTTAACTACTCTTCTGATAGAGAATTGGAATATATAAAGAACTCAAAAAAGTTAATTCCAAACCCCCAAACAACCCAATCAATTAACAGACAAATGAACTGAATAGACACTTCTCAAGAAATGCAAGTGGCCAAGAAGCATATGAAAAAATGTTCAGCATCTTTAGCCATTAGGGAAATGCAAATTGAAACTACATTGAGATCGTATCTCACCCCAGTCAGAATGGCTGTTATCAAGAACACGAAAAACAATGAATGCTGGGAAGGATGCAGGGGTTAGGGGACAAGGTAGGAAGCTTTCTATACTGTTACTGAATGTAACCTAGGACAAACTGTGGCACTCAGTACGGAGAGACCTCAAAAAACTAAACAGAGAAGTACCCTTGGATCCAGCTATACACCATTCCTTCGGATATTGCTGAAGGAATTAAAGGGAGCATACTATGGTGATACATTTGTACCCACGGTTATGGTGGCACCATTCACAACAGCTACACTATGACAACAGCCCAGAGGCCTGGCAACAGTTGAATGCAATAAGAAAATGTCATATATGTATACATATTGGAGCATGAATCAGCTGTAAAGAAGAATGCAATCACATCATTTACAGGAAAATGAGTGGAACTGGAGACTATCATGTTAGGCGAAATAAGTCAGACTAGACAGTTAAATGTCACATTTTCTTTTATATAAGAAAGAAAAGAAACTTAGAAAGTAGACAGAGCTGAGGAAAGAGATGGGGGATAATGGGGTTGAAAATAATCACTCTATATTTTATGCATAAGCCAATACACAAAAATTAATCTCATTCTGTGTTACTAATATACACTAAATAAAAAAGAAAACATGACTACAAAAATATCCCAACTCTGAAGATGATCATTCTACCAATAAGGACAAGTAATAGGCCAATCAACTGCTAACTTATTTTGGGTAATGAAGACTGACACAAAAATGGTTCTGATGTCTACATAATGACTCCTAACAAACTTTTTCTTTCGCGGTACCAGGGATTAACTCAGGGCCTTGTGCTTGCCAGGCAAGCGCTTATTCTACTGAGCTATCTCCCTGGCTTCTAACAAATAATGTCACCTAATTTTTTTTCTCAGCATAGACAAGCTAAAATCTGTACTCCAATAAACCTCATTTAATGCTACTCCTCCTCAGGCCTTAGAAATTTATATTTTGAAAAGAAAGCAAAGCACCTCTTACCTCCTGGGACCTGCTCCATGAATATTTTAATGAAGCCATTCTCACTGAAAGAGCCCAGATACTGGACAATATTTTTGTGCTTCAGATGCTTATGCAAGGCTATTTCTTCATGCAGGGGCTGAGAGTATCTGTAAAATGTGCAAATGTCAGTGAGCTAATTGCACAGTCAGAATTTGGTGTATAAATTTAAGCAATACAAATGGAAAATGTCAGCTGTGTGCCCCTAGACAAAATCAAAAGGACTATGTAAGGACTTTATTTTTCCCAAGGCAAATTCAGCACAGTTGTACCTGTGTTAGGGTAAGGGGACAGGAGCCGCTACTGTTGTAAGCTCTTTGTATACATTAACTGATTTCTCACAAGTAAACAGTAAGTACTGTTAGGCCACCTATTGTAACTGAGAAGGATACTAGTGCACGGTGAGGAGGACTACCTTGCCCATGATTATACAACTACTAAGTGACATATTTAAGAGTTGAAATCAGGAAAATAGAAATCATCTGCACAGCTTAATGTCCACAACAACACTCCTCTCTCTCACATAACTTTTAACATTGTAGGAGAATCCTGGCCAGGAAGACAAAAATCCCAAATACCTTTAATGTCCATTCTAGAACCTTCTGAAAGGTCTACTGAATTATCAATAGAAAATAGGCAGACTTTAATCAATAAAAACATAAAACCATTTCAGATGAGACTGCACGCATTCAGGATGGCATGGCCTTAGACATAAAACCATTGCAATAGGAAACATAAAGCAGTAGTAGAAAACATAAACCCAGTTACATTGCATTTTGAGCCTGTTTTTTCAAAATTTTCAACTTTCTGTGTCCATCAAGCTCTAGTACATCATAAATTTTTACCTAGTCCCGAACAAGCCTCTGGTGTATCATATTATTATAAAAGTATTTTACAACAAACTAACACTTCTGATTATTATCTGAAGCATTGTAAACCTTATAAATCCAGTAATCCCAAGTCCAATGTAACATTAACATAATTATTATACTACAGCTTGTCAAAGAACAAAATATGAACAAGTTGAATTTTACAGGTCTAATTGGATTTTATTTAGTGATTCATGAATGAGGCAACATCTAATCCACACAGACGAGAGCTTTGCTGGCCATGAGGAATAATCAGTTGTAGGGTAGCTCAATCAGGAACGAGGTAACAGCAAGTGCAAAATGAAGTGACTGGACTCCTTCACGCATTCTCTCACGTGCTTTAAAGCAGAGGGTACCTTCTTGCTACCCTGGCCAGGCTGTCTGGACTCCTTGGGATTTCTGTGATCCTCCTGCTTTGTGTTTTGTTTAGTTTTGTTTTTGTTTTAAATTGGTCTGTTTGGGAATTTCTCTCCCTCCTCTCTCCTGATTTCTGAAAGGACCCAAATAAATAATTCAGGATTTGATTTTAGGACATGAAACCTGAATCCAAGTGACTCCTTTTGGATTGATTTGTTGGGACTTTGTATAGGAGCTCAGTTCAAATCACTGGGCTCCATAAATTTGATTAAATGAGCTAAACACGGTAGGATGTCAGGCACACTAATGAGAATCAAAGCTAATCCCCAATGCACGTGCTGTGAACAGACACCCCCTCCCACACACACTTACATACGTTTTCATACAGCAGAGGCTACAGATGTAAAAGGTACTGACTGCCAAGACCTTAAATGCAAACTTGCTGTCTCATGATGCTGCAGTCATACATATAAGAAATGCTCAGCTCTTACAAAAACAAGCCCACATAGATGGGATGGATCTTTTCTGAATGTTAGCAACAAATACCAGCATTGATTAGAACGGAATAACACTGTTTTCATGAACCTTTTTGGATAAGCACTCAAACTAAAAACAATGAGCAGTTTACAAACATCAAAATTCATTTAATTCAAATAAGCTTTTCTAACTTTATTATTCAGAAAGCAGCCAATGACAACAGCAGCAAAACTTGTGTTTTAGACATATCAATATATATACTTTTTTAATTTTAGGACTGCTCCAGCAATGAAAATAGCAGGCATTAAACTAATCTTGCTGATATAGTAACAGCAATAGCATTTTGATAATTGTTGGAATGAGGTAACAAAAGAGATACTAATACACAGTTTACCAATAACATATTTGGGCAATGACGAAGAATTTACCAATTACTTTCTTCCGTATCACTTTGACCCTGGTTCATCATTGTTTTTGATATGCATTAGAGGCAGATATTGTGCTACAGTATAGATTTATGAATTATAATCATTATCCTGAAATAAAGAATTAACACAGTTTATTATGAATCAAAGGGCTTCCATTTCCTGATCTACTGAAAATAAAACAATGAATGTTTATACTTTTTTTTTGTATATTAGGGAAGGGTCTACAGGGTATTCAGGGTCTTACTACTAGATCAGACTCAGTGATACTCTTGTTTACAGCCTCCCAAGTGCTGGGATTATAGGCGCGCACCACCATGTCCAGTTTCAATTGCTGTCTCAGCATGGGGTGGGGCCAGCATAACAGGCTGGGGATCGAATGGATGCTTATACTTAAGATCCTGTCAAAGTAACTATCCCTACCTTTTTATTTAAATCCAGGATAGCCCAAAATTTGCAAGGGTAGTCAGAGTTCAACCAAGCTAAGGATAAAAGCCATTCTCCAATGTTAAAAATATCTGGCAGATCCAATAATGTTCATGAAATAGTAAGTACCAAGCACTAAATAAAGATGATGTGTTAATACTTTGGGAAGATACACAGAGCTGAAGGTAAAAATCCATGTTTTCATTTTGACTGTGTTAACTTTGAGATGTTTGTAGACTTACAAGTAGAGATACTGGATAGACCATTACCCAGAGCTCTTTGGGCATGACCTTTCTAAAGAAGGCAGACCATGTCACCCCAGTAGTATGGTCTTAGAAAAGTGATTTGAGGCCACCCACAAGAAAGAAGCACATGCTGGAACCTGTATTAAAATCTAGTCAATTAAGGATAACAATAATACTAAATAATCCAGTTCTTTGTCTTTCAAACTTTTTTTCTTTCTGTATTTTAGGGAAGGGTCTACAGGGTGTTCAGGGTCTCACTATTAGATTGGACTCATAGTGATCCTCCTGTTTACAGCATCCCAAGAGCTGGCATTACAGGTGTGCACCACTACCCTCAGTCTCAATTGCCATCTCAGCAAGGCCCGGGGATGGGGCCAGCACAGCAGGCCCAGGGATCAAATCCCTGGCCCCTGTGCCCGCTTGCAGGCACTTCAATCCGCTGAGCTATTTGGCCGGCCCTTGTCTTTCAAACTTTGAATACACGACACATGAAGAATATACAAAATTGACTGCAGAAGCTTTGTCTCCTGGAGAGAAGACATGGACCCTCAGAAATCATGGGGTGAAGGGAAGAGAGAATTACTACTTGTAGACAAAAGCCATCAGGCAGACGACTAGAGAGGAAAACAGCACTGCTCAGCAGAGGATACTGTTACCAGAGCTGTTCAGATCCCTGAGTGACTTTTTTGTTCCAAAAAATGATTCCATTTCCTGCAGGGTTCAACTATATACAGTTAGAACCACTTCTTCAAATATTTCTTCTGTTCCTTCTATCTTTTTTTCTGGTGCCCTTTCCATTTAGCATATGTTATATTTTTTGTAGTTGTCCCACAATTCTTAGGTATTCTGTTCCTTTCCTCCCAGTCTTTTTTCTCTTTGCTTTTCAGTTTTGGAAGTTTATGGACATTGCTCTCTGTTCCTGCATGTTATCTACTTTTTTGCATTAGAACTTTTAGTATAATTATTACAATTTTTTTAATCCACAATTTTCTAACTCCAACATACCTGCCATATCTGACTGGGTTCTAACACTTGCTAAATTTCTTCACATGTGTTGTCTTTTAGTATGCCTTGTAAATTTTTTTTTTTTTTTTTTTTTTTGCTAAAAGGCAGACATAATGTACTAAGTCACAGAAGAGAAGAAAGTAGGCCTTTAAGTAACAAGGTGCTGAGGTGAGGGTGAGAGAAAGGTTGTGTAGTTCTAGGATTAGATTTTGGATTCTAGCAAGCCTGTATTTCTGGGCTGTGAACTCCACAAGGGCTTCTTGGTCTCACCTCATTAGGTGGGACAGGATGGCTAGAATACAGCGTTTTCCTTCCCCTCGCTTACTTAAGCTTTGCTAAAACAGTACGCTCTGAGGGCAAACTCTAAGAAGAACACAATGCTCTTGCATACTTAAAAACTGGTTTGTGTTCTCTCTTCTTACTAGAAGCACAAGATGATTTTTCTCTGATATCCACTAGGAGGACCTGGAAGAGCTTCATAAAGTAAAACGCACAAGATGCAGATCCTCCACGACTACGTGTCCCAGGGATTCTCACACTTGCTCACACTGAGCTTCCAGCAATTTGTGAGCTGCAGTCTAGGACTTCTACCCTCCCTCCACTTTCCCTGGGGGTTTTTGCTCACGGATTTCCACTCCACTATGTTATGACTTTTCATATTCACCCGTTTCTCCAATTTGAGGGGCAGCCTCCTGTCTTTCACCAGTGGATCCTAAAACAGCTGTCGAGTTTTCAGTTTGTTCAGCTTTTGACTTGGTAGGATAGAATACAACTTCTGAGCTCCTTACATGCTGAACTGGAAACCTACTTGTGATAGAGCTTATTCTATCCATCCACTAAACCAGCTTAATCCAACATCATTGGAGCCAACACCCATAGGACCACTCACACTCTCTTCTAAGCATTGATGTCCTGTCCTCTACCAGGGCTTCTCCCACCACCATCTTCCCCTTAAGTCACTGCACCATGCAGGAGATAAACCTGAGAAAGAGTTGATTAACACAATGGGGTTTTCAGACAGTTTCATTAATTCAAATATCACCAAGTATCTTCTAAAATGCTCCCAACAAACCAACATACTTTCAAAAAGCACATTTATTGGTGACAATTACTGTACCTGCTATCTCTCTCTGGGATTTCCTTAATGGCGATTCTGACTTGGTTGCTCAAGTCCCGACCCGCGTAGACTATTCCGTAAGTGCCTTTTCCTAAAACGACTCTGTCACCATTTTCATCATATTCATAGTCATACTATAGAAGAGAAAAGGAGGAGGGAAGATTGAAACATTAGTTGCAGCAGATATTCCAACATCAGTTTTTTTCCATGAGTATTGTTTATCACGTGGCTTTCACAAGTGAGACAATGAGATGAAGTTCAAGCAATTGCTTCACGCACCAAGAAAAAAAAAAACAACTCGCCCAACTCTCGACAGAAAGCAGACAGTGTGTTTACACTTATGATGGGATATATGTTGTATATATCCCACTAACTATAAACTACATAGTCTATAAAAGTGCTTCTTCAAAAGCCCACTTGAAGTCCTCATGCTATTTGGTTCTGTTTTTCATTGATTCTGAAGATGTATATAATCGGCATCAATAGCTACCAAGATCTATCACAGCTGATCAATCTTCGTGTTATTTGACTTTTTTTAAAAATGTATTTGGTGCAGGGTCTCACTATGCAGCTTGGACTTGCAATGATCCTCCTGTTTTCAGCCTTCCCAACACTGGGATTACAGGCGCGTGCCACCACACCTGGTCTCGGTGGCTGGCTCAGCGCGCCTGGGGGTGGGGCTGGCGTGGCCTGTGGTGCTGGGGATTGAACTCCATCCCAGCACTTGCCTAAGCAGGCACTTAAGTCTGTTGAGTTATCTCACTGGCCCTTGTTATTTGACTTTTGATAATGTATTTTTTATTTTGCCTTCAGAATAAAATCACAGAAAAGACTAGAGAAAGGAAAAACTTACAAGGTCTTCTAGTTGATGATGATAAAAGATTATTTTTACTTCACCCCCAGGTCCCTAAGACCCCCAAAATATTTATTTTTTCATCCTTTTGATAGCGTCTCACTATGCAGTTGAAGTGTTCAGGCTGGTCTTCAGCTCACTTTGCAGCCCACGCAGGTCTCAAACTTGAAACAATCCTCCTGCCTCAACCTCCCAAATGCTGAGATTACAGGCGAGTGCCACCACAATTGGCCCAAAAAGATTTTAAAAGATGAAAAATTTGATCTTTGTGCCAAGCATGGTGGCTAGAAAATTTAACATTAATACTGATGAATAATGCATGGAGTGGACTATAGGTACAGATTTTTAGGCTCATTAAGAACAGCCTTGGGGCCGGGGAGATGGCTCAGTGGAATAAGCACTTCCCTGGCAAGTGCAAGGGTCTGAGTTCAATCCCTGCTTCCAAAGGGGGGGAGGAGAAAGCCTTGAAATATATAAAACAGAGGTGATGAAAGTACAAAGAAAAATAGACAATTTTACACTGCAGTAAGTATTTAACAATGCTCTTTCAGAAATGAATGTTTCTAGCAAATTATAAATATACCCTAAAAGCACAATTAACAAGTTTGATATAAACAAGTATCTATGCATAGATGAAAGATATATTGTAACTGATCATATATTAGGCCACAAAGAAAAATTCTAAAGAGCGCACATCAAAAAGGTCATTATCTTTGAAAACAGAATATTCTGAAAATGACCAGAAAAGTTTATATTTACTTTAGGATAATCAGTGACTCAAAAGAGATGATTATAAGGATCGTAAAATAATTAAAATTATGAGAAAAGGTATTATATATCAAATCCAATATTGTGACATATAGATAAGATTTTTTATGACCTTAAACAATTTCTTTAAAAAATAAACAAATTCTTAAACAAATTAAATGTTTGAGTGATGGACATAAAAGGAGAATAATCTATTAAAGACAGGATGCTGTGGTTTTGGCAACAGGACGGAATGGATATCTAAAAGCCTCCTTGCTAGCAACACCTAGGTAAAATATAATAGATGTACTTTAGAGTGCTTTGTCAGGTCCACAAACAAGTAAAAGTGACCACAGGAGCTAGAATCAAAGAGGCAAAAGACCCTAGAAGGAAATTATGAGAACCAGGCTCCTGTAGCCCAGAGGGAGCTGGGCGGAGATGACAACAGGGCTTTCAATTTCATTGCTCCAGGACAGAAGTTTGTCACATCTTTTTGGGAAGGGCCAGATGGTGAATATTTTTAGCTTCATAGGCCAAATAGTTGTTGTAGCAACTACTCAATCCTGCCAGTACTGCAGGGTGAAAACAGCCCAAGAGGCTGTGCATAGCCGTGCTCCAATAAAAGTTGACTTAGCAAAGGAGGTGGTGGGCTGGACTTGGCCCCTGGGCCGTACTTTCCTGACCTCTCTTCTGGGACTTGGGTCTTAGCATCCATGAGGGGACAGGACATGTAGTCAGTGCTTACGGCTGGTAAAGAGCTAGAAACCTGGCCCTCGAAGGAGCACAATCTAGCAAAGTCTGCATTAGAAAAACCAGCCCATCACCCCAGGGGATGGGGAGAGGATGATCTGTCTTAGTTCCAGCCTCATGGGAAAAAATAAGTCTTCTCTGAGTACTGTCAGATGACTCTTACAATGACTGAAATTCAAACGCACACTTAAGGTAGTCCTTATAATTGCTCTTGAGCCCCGGTTGTCCCCAGAGTGGCTGAGAAAGCAAAGCAAAAACATTTTAATGGGATATTCCCTTCACACTAGCCACTCAACGTTCTCATTGATGGTCTACCCCTGAATTTGAGCTAATGGCCAAATTTAAAATATAAAAGGATGCCATGCTGGTCCTGTCTGCCAGGTACACTGAGACAGCAATTGAGACTGGGCGTAGTGGAACGTGCCTGTAATCCCAACTCTTGGGAAGCTGGAAACAGGTGGATCACTAGGAGTCCAATCTAGCAGTGAGACTCTGAACACCCTGTAGACACTTCCCTAAAAATACAAAGAAAGAAAGAAAGAAAGAAAGAAAGAAAGAAAGAAAGAAAGAAAGAAAGAAAGAAAGAAAATATAAAAAGAAACAATTCACTAGCGGTGAAATGATATGACAAATATAAATCATCAAAAGCTGATAAATCAGAAACTAGAAAGAGTGGAAGCCTAACATAGATCCCAAATAGGGCGATTTTAAAATAAGAAAGGATAAGATACTTTAAAAAAGACCAGTGAGATTTGAGAGTGTCAAATGTAACTTCCAGACATTGAGCCCTATATAGGAAAGATAAAAATAAATCAACATTCAGATATGATATAAAGAAGCTACAAAATACTAAGAACAGAATGAAGGCTTACAAAAGGTGGCAGAGATCAAAAGGGCTAATTACCCTTATGAGTGCTAATCAGACTGCCTGTGGGGACACTGGAACATGCAGGTACTTACTATCTCCAACTTATTTGCTTGCTGCAGGTTTCTGTGCTCTAGTAGAAGACAGTAGTGGTGGTGGTGGTGATGGTGGTGGTGGTGGTGGTGGCAGTGGTAGTGATAGCGGTGGTGGTGGTGGCAGTCATGGTGGTAGTGGTGCTACTATCTGCACAGACCTCCCTATCATAGACCCTGCTACAGCTCAGTACCAAAGCCACGCTTTGGAGGGAGGTGTCTGCTCTTCCAGGGGCACACTCAGCCTCTATCCTGAAGCACCCACAGACATGTACAACAGGAAGCACACCTATCTGGGTTACTGAATGTAAGGCTGATGACAGTCTTGTCCAAAGCAGCTGTCCAGGGGTTTACACCAGGAGGGAACAGACAGCAGAGATCTTTTAGCAACTTATCAGAGTCAAAGATACACCTGGGTTCTTGCAAAGAGACAGTAAAAATCCCTCAAAAAATGTCATCTGCAGAAACCCAAGACTTCACCCCCAGCTCCTGTGGTCCAGACTTCCGCAGTGCTGAGCTATGTGTGCAAGCCCAGCCAGGACCATTAACAGAGAAGCTCCATTTTGCCGTGTGTCCCGGACCTGACGAACCTAGACTCGCCATCTCCTTCTATCAGAATAGTAATTTATAATTTGAAACAAAAAAACACTCACTTTCAATAACTTACCTCATTTGACCGTCATGATGTCTGTGGTCAAGTAAAGGTCTCTGATTACCTTCCACTTACAAGATACTACACTGACAAAATTATCTTTTCCAGTAAAAATGTCCAAGTTATGGTTTAAGACCAAATTCTAAGAGTCAAGATTTGATGTTCTTTCCACTAAGAATGCAGTATGGAAACTGTACTGCCAAACTGAACTTATTGCATGAGAACTTGCCAACTGAACACTGTTGCCAAACACCAGCTTTTGTTTTTGTTTTTTAATTTTGGCAGAACCAGGGATTGAACTCAGGCCCTTGCGCTTGCCAGGGAAGCGCTTATTCCCCTGAGCCATCTCTCCAGCCCCCAACACCAGTTTTACTTAGGCAGATGTATTCATATCCACTGAGCTTCCACTTAGCCTTTCAAGCAGACATCTGATAATCTCTGTCTTCCTGGATTCTTTTGTTTTCCTTTATTCCGTATATTAAGCTGATTGGCAAATGCTATCAGGTTTTCCTTCCGAAAACCTCAAAACTGCATGTTACAGCTTTATCCTCAAAGCTGGCTGGCTTCTGGCTGCTTTCAGGATAAAATATAAACTCTTTGGCATGCAGGAATGCCCTGTAGGATCCTATCATCACCTCTGCCGCCTTTTCTCTCACCCACGTCCTCTTTCTGAGGAACTCCCAGGGAGGTTCTTTATCTTTTATTTATTTGCTTGTTTGTTTATATATTTGGTTGTTACAGGGTCTCACTATGCAGCTTGGACTCATAGTGATCCTCCTGTTTTCAGCCTCCCCAGAGCTGGGATTACACGTATGTGCCTCTAGCCAGGACTCTCACAGGCTCAGCTCACCCTGGGGTGGGGCTGGGGTGGCATGTGCTTGCCCAGGATTGAACTGTGTGGTCCCTGTGCTTGCCTAAGCTTGCTAAGCAGGTGCTTTAGTCTGCTGAGCTATCTCGCCGGCCCCCAGGGAGGTTCTTTATATCACTGTGCTCTTTCCTCCTCACAAAATTCCACCACCTACTTCAAAACCAAGCTCTGGAGGCCTCCTGAATGGTCACCTGCCCCTCAAAAGCAGAGTCAGTCTCTGCTTCGCTGAGCTTCCAAGGCCGGCTAGCTGCCATTGCGTGGGCGTCACTCTGCCCCCTCTGCCCACTCTTGCGCCCCTCGACTGGGC